AGAATTAAGGTTTTATGAACGTAATTTTAAGCACTGAAATTACCTAACTTAGCCACCCGACACAATATGTTTTGCACTATACCCGAAACCAAATACATCCATTTATAACACGTTAGGGTCCTTTCTATCTAAAACCAGATGACTTAATTGATTTTTATTTGTAAAAATTCGTTACTATCATGGAAATTTATTGGTCATCATAGGCCGGAAATTGATTATTTCAGATTCTTGGTACCGTATAAAGATCACCAAGGCCAGTGACAGTTAATCAGTAATACCAATTTCCTAGCACAACAGTGAAAAAAGAACGGAAAACATCAATTAGGCTTCATATATTCCTGCCTAGTCAAAAGGTCAGGGAGAAAATACATTGATTGCAATACAAGTACTTACACTGAATTTTAATAGCGTACTCTGGTGAGAGTCCGTTAAATCGGTCTATTCATCGAGTGGATGAGTTGAGAAATCAAACGGGTAGTCCACATACGCCGCCAATCACCGACGAAAATTCAGTCTTTAGGATCGGCATTTTGTCAAATAGGATATACCAAAGGGAATTAAGTGGACACCACCAAACCCACAATGACCTGTTTTGACGAATTATCGACAGCTTGCATGGAAAACCAGATCACTTAAATTTATCCGAATATTTGGCACAATTGTAGAGACAGAAGGGAAATTTAAGCTGCTAATAAAACGTGAAACTGTTGCGTTTCTTCAATGTAGCGAATCATTTTAGGGCAATTTCAGAATTTTCCGAAATTTTGTCAAGTTCACACAAACGTAATCGGATCAAAAAGTACTAGATAAGCACGAACGAATGTACTGATTTGGAACTCGAAATCAAGTATTCATCAAGTACAAAGAAATCATTAGTTCATGCAAACACCACATCCGCCACAACTTATATTAAAGTCTAAGTTTCTGTAATCGATTGTACGTCTTCTTCACCAGTTCATCCTGTGTATTGGATAAGGACTCTGTATAATCTAGAATGTACTCATTAGTATTCGAATTAACAACGAGAATTGGGACAAAATCACCCGGTTTGTGGAATTGTATCTGATCAACATATCGCTTTTGTGTACTTAAATCATTGATATCTAGAATTCGACTCATGGATTTCTCAACAGTGTTCACCACGATTCCAGTGGCTAGTTAACGATCATTTCCACGATAAAATGCAACTACTGCAGACTCCAAACACTTCACATTAGACCTAATTTTCTCAACACCTGAATGTTCACTATGAAGATCTTCAAGAAAAGATTTACGTAATGAAAGAGGGATAACAAGACGTTCATTTAAACACAAAATACCCCCAGGAGTAGTGGATAGCTCATCCTGCTTTAAAAAATAGACAGGCGATCTACGTTTCAGATTAACATTCCAGCCTTTCCGTGTAGTACTGAGTATACAACCAAAGTATATACGAGTTTCTCTAATGAGAACTGGACGCCTCACTGGAAAAGGTTGTACCAAAAAACAATCTGGAGTATTAACAGATCTATCTTGTAATGATTGTCGAGAAATGTAGTCATAGGCACTCAGGGCAATACTTCGTTGTTGAACCATAGCAGCTGAGGAGCGTGCTAAGGATGTTTCAGGGTGATAAATAAACTTTGAAGCTTCATGATCAGTAACAATAGTGAATTTCTTCCCAAATAAATATTTATGAAGTCTTTTAACAGCCCAAAACACAGCTAATGCTTCTCGGTGAGTTAGTGAATAACCTTGTTCAGTAACAGTAAGCTTGTATGAAACACAAATAACTGGTCTACCTTCCTGCTCCCAAACTGCACCAATACCCACAGGTGATGCATCTGTATTAATCACAGAATGTACACTAGGGGAGTAAGTTCAAAGAACACCATCACTTTGAAGAAACTTTAGGAGACTTCCTAAGCGTGACTCCTGTTCCTCACCCGATTTGATTGAATTGGATGTCAAAATATTAAATTTACAATTTTCAAGACAAGAAAAATTTCTAACATAAGGGGAATATTATTGAAGAACGCCCACTTGTGAACGTAGTGTCGTAAGATGTTTTGGAGACGGTGCATTTTTTAGTAGAGCTTGTCGTTTCATATCTGGTCTAAAACCATTACCGTCAACTAGGTATCCAAGACATTCAAAACTAGATACACAAAATAAATATTTATTTGGATTCATTGTAATATTCTTCCCAATTAAATGACGTAATAAAGCATTAAGTCTCTCGTCATGAACTACATTATCAGAACTATGAACAATGAGATCATCTTGATAAGCTTCAACACCTTCAAGATCTCTAACTACTTTGTTCATCACTTCCTATGATATGGCTGGAGAACAACTTAGACCACATGGAAGGAAATTGTATTGGAACAGACCAAAAGGAGTGTTAATTGTCGTCCAAATAGATAAAGATTGATCTAAAAGAATTTGAGAATAAGCATCTTTTAGGTCAACTTTCGAGAACACTTTAGAATCATGAAGTCAATTTTAAACATCTTCAGCCTCTATCGTCGTGCACGTTTGCTTTAACAAACGGGAGTTTAATGTAAATATATAGTCACCACATATTCTAGGGGTCTTGCCGTCTGACTTCAGTGGCGTAACAATAGGAGTACCCCATGCTGAAGATTGAATCAGTTCAATTATGCCTTTCGCACACAAATCGTTTAATGTCTTATGTACTGCTTCTCGAAGACCATAAGGAATTATTCGTTTTTTAAGAAAGACTGGATCACCCTGTACTTGAAGTTTTATAGGCTGAATTTTCATACCTCCACTGCATTTAGCACACGCAGCTATCAAATCTTTAAGTAAAGCATCATAATTTTCTTTAGAAAGTAGAAAAGACAACTCCACTTTAAGCCTTTTCAAATTCTTTAAACCCAGTGTTGACAGTCCTGTTTCTCTCACTAAAAATTCCCAAGGTATTTATGAAGAATTATCATCTCTTATTAGCAATTCACAACATCCTCGTATGGGCAGTCTGTGTCCAGTAATTCTTAATATCGATACTTCAGTGGGTCGTACCACAACTTTAGGATCTAAAGATTTCAAATTCTGGAATGAAATAATGAACTCTATACTCCTGTGTCCACAATAAATTCATGACATAAACCAAGATATGTATATGATCGCTTTTGGATAAGAGCATTACCTGTCGAAATGGTAGACAAAGATAAATGATCATTAGGAACAGCTGAATTGTTGGGATCTAAATTGCAAGATTTAGTACTGTAGAATTATGGTCTCCTATGGCATGGCCAAGCCATGCCATCCGATTAACGTAAATTTATTCAATTCCTTGTTCGCGCTTTCCTCATCGTTAGGTATTTCTCCGCGTTAAATATTGAATATCTATTTTCCGAGTAGTCTCGTGTTCAGCTTTGAGGATTGTATGATTATGGTCCAATGCCACTACAGTACTACTTGGAGCAAAATGGACAGCAGCTTTGCATACTGACTGAATGTGTCCCATCTTACCACATTTAAAACATTTAGCATTACGAAATGGACATGAATTACGAGAATGAAACTTTCCACATGATAAACATTTACAAAACTTGATCTCACCTTTGTGATTTACTTTGTAATTTCTTGCTGAGACACCTTTCATATTTACACGAGAATAGGAATCACTGTTAAACGAACGCTAGTTTGATTGACCCTGAGATTGTATTTCATCATGATGACTAAGCAAAGTATTGGAAATCTTCATTAACTGGATATCAAATTCATTCACTGCCTGGTAGTTAATACACGCAGTTCTAGCATTTTGAAAAGAACAATTCGGCATTTTTAACAGCTCTCTTTCCAAACCCGGTATGTTAATTCCTGCAATTATTTGATTACTCAGTTGCACATGAAGTTGATCGCCAAAATTACATTTGGCAGCATGTTTCTGCAATTCAAGGATGAATTCCCTCACCTTTTAACCATTTCGACGAATCATCTTACGAAATTTTGCCCTTTCAAGGCATTCAAAACTAGTGCACTTTACACGATTTAAGAGTTGCATAAGGAAGTGAGATAGGTTTTTCTGGATATGCCAAAATTTTTAATAAGCTGTACGCTTCTCTTCCGATGAATGTCAGGAAATGTGCCACAGTTTTATCACCTTTAACACCTTTCTTGGTCATGCTCCAGATTTCAAACCTTTACAAATAATCCTCAAAATTTTCAGAAGTTGAATGAATATCTAGCTGTTCCATCACAGGCTCAATCGCGACGCCATGTGATGATTAGGAGTATTTGAATTATAATACAAACTAACAATTCCAGAAATAGCGTAATCACATCAAGAAGTACTAGATAAGCACGAGCGAATGTACTGTATTTGGGATTCGATATCAAGTATTCTTCAAGTACAAAGGAAACATTAGTTCATTCAAACACCACAGGAACTCAAAACAACTGTCGACCGATATCAAAGTGAGAATCTTCTATGCGAACGTCAAAACAGTCCTACTGTACGGAACTGAGATTTGGAGAACTACCACAACCATCATCAGGAAGGTATAAGTATTTATAATAAATTGTCTACACAAGATAGTCAACATCCTTCGGTCGGATACTATCAGCAACAGCCTTCTGTGAGAGAAGACAAACTAGCTTCGAGCTGAATAGGAAATTGGGAAAAAACGTTGTAATTGGATGGTACACACATTGTGGAGATCACCAAACTGCATCACGAGGCATTCCCTTACTTGGAATCCTGAAGGGAAGAGGAATAGAGAGAATGGAGAACAAATTGCTTTGAGAATTGAAAGCAGATGTCAAAAGAATGAACGACAAGTGGAAAAAACAAGCAAGGATCATTCACGATAGAGTGAGAAAGAGAATCTTGATGGGTGACCCAAACTAATTTACAGGAAAGTAACAGGTATAAGTTATTTTAAACGCAAAAAATATGAATGTTATCTAGAGAGTCTAAAATGAAGACATCATTTAATTACTATAGAAATCTCCCGAAAATAAATGATATCAGTCGTTAAAATCAGACAAGTAGGAAACCACTTTCTTATAGTGGTAAAGAAGCTCATTTGTTTGGACGATGTACCGATCGTTCATATAGTTTAGGCGCGCTACTCTGCATCGTGGTGAGATCAGGAGTCGATGGTTAGTACTGTTTTATTCCGAAAACCATCTTATTTGTGTTATAGTCTCGTATCAAGGCCAAAAAAACAAGGAAGTTGCGTGGCCACGTAAGTCATGGCCATGGACGAGTAGGTAAACATCGCAAGCATCCGGGAGGACGGGGAAATGCAGGTCTTGAACATCACCATCGTATTAACATGGACAAGTACCATCCAGGCTACATTGGTAAAGTTGGTATGCGCCATTATCATCTTAAAAGAAACCCCTACTACTGTCCAACAATTAACCTGGATAAAATATGGTCTTTAGTTTCGCAAGCGACTTACGAAAAGTATAGAGACTCCACTGATGGTAAAGCTCCTGTAATAGATTGTTTGCGCAAGGTAAGTACCAACATCTAATGTATCAATTGGCCCTTATAGGGTTATTTCAAAGTCCTAGGCAAGGGATATCTTCCGAAGGTCCCAGTTATTGTCAAAGCCCGGTTCTTCTCTCGGAAAGCAGAAGAAAAAATCAAAGCAGTTGGGGGGGCTTGTATATTAACTGCATAAATATAATTTAGCATTGGATATTCCATTCAATTTTCTGAACGTGACTGGTGACTAACCTAGGTATGTATGTTGCAACAGCGTCAATCGACACCCTGTAAATTCATAGTCTACTATAAATGACGTACATAATGTTTAATCACAATTTGCTCGTGTAAAAGTCCTTCGGTCACTCAGTCATAAGAAAACGGAATGAGGTTCCTGGCCTTTCATTCTCTCAGCCAACTTTAGCCCATTTAATGAGAAAGTAGTATCATTTATGACCGGTCGTTTTATTTGCGTTCATTTAACATCACAGTAAAATAAACAGAAATCTGTATACGGGGAATGTTGTCTGTGTTTGACACCCAATAGTGACTTGCTTAGAATTGGAACTCGGAAACTCCAGATGTATATTAGCAGTGTCAAACTTCTAAAGTAACAACCCACTTGATATATTATTTAAACTTTTGACTTCACGCTCTGCAAACTTCTCGACCACATCTATTATGTTGGCTCCAAACGTCAGTCAAAAGAAATTCCATGATTGATAGCATGGGCTTGACTCAAACTATAAGGACTTATTGTTTCAGTAAGGCTTTCGTGGTGATCAGGATATGGGACCTTACAGTCAGATTAATCACAGTTGTCCTTGACGGAATATGCTTAAGCCTAGCGCCGTTACATATCTCCTATTCGGAACTATCAATAATAAATGGTCCAAATTTCAAATGTTTGGTCAAACTTGCGACTGAAGTGGACCAAACTAAGTCGTTTTTGATTGTTACCCAATACGCTCTAAATTCACCTCCGTGATTTTATATTTCTAGACTAAATTAGTAGTGTCATGCTAGAATTTTCTCAAGTAATAATAATAAGCTATACTAGTATTTGCTTCTCATTATGATCGACTTATCTGTTGCACTGCTGCCTGAAATGTAAAACCCTGTTTGATCATTGTGTTTGGATTAAAACTAAGGTAAACCGACTGATAGTCAATGTGTCTCGACAAGTTTACTTCGTCGCAAAATTCAGAGTGCATACACACGCTAGGTACTAAAATTATGTGATGACTCTAATGTCCTAGCACCATCTGATGTACTCGTTATCGACGCATCTATACTGTGTCCTTCTGCTAGTTCTAAGTGTCATCTACTGAGGGACTACGTTTCTTACTGCGTTCTCTTGTCGAATAAAATCGAAATATAGTAACGTATTTGTATAGCCAGACAGTGACTTTAGGTATAGTGAATTTTCTACTGTAATATGACTGAAAAGAGTCACTCGCAATTGCATAAAGTTACTTAACCAGACACATTAACGTATTCGACGTCTCGTCCAGTTTTACAACCAACGGTATATAATATAATGGGTGCAATTCTCAATGAAATACAAATGCCGTTGCTATTTGCTGGATCTTAATAATTAAATGACATACACTTACAAAGCCATATGGAGCTAAAATACTTAATAAATCAAAATTACCAAGCCAACTATATGTTACTTTACTCCAACTTCACATCACTATTTTGTACGTGCTGCTGCGAAACCTGTCAACGTTGTCTGATGCTTTCTGTGGATAGACTACATTTTCCAATGTCACAAAGACATGCTATTGTAAGACAGACACTACTGGACTTTGCGTTAACACTGAAGAGTGGACGAGAATAATATGCCTACGATACAACCGGGATTTTGTTTGCCCTTCCTAGCTTAGATATCATCAATTTGAATGGTGTGCGCGACGTAATCCCAACAAAAGCTTAGTATTGTAGATTACTCCTAATCGCGTATAATGAAGTCCTGTTTATATTAGACTGTGACTTACTATATGGATAGCTCACCTATTAAAATTCCCACCTAAGTGTTCAAAAATTTCATACACCCTACTAGTAGTTGTATGACGCATTACATCAGAAACATTCTTTATAACAACTGCACTTTGTTCACCGTGAGTCCAAAAACGTTGTAGGGGCGAGCGACGAATACTCTAAGTTCGACAGACTAAACCTGCAGATAATCCTGACTAGGCTCTCATTTTATTGAAGCTTTACTAATAAGTTTGTTCACGAATAGTCACCAACCTACTACCTACCATAATATTCCCTGTATTTTACAAAAGAAATTCATTGTAAGGAACTATTGCTTGTGTGCTTAGAACCCGAAACATGAAGTAACTTTATTGCTCGTTTTTACCTATATTAATAATTTTTGACACAAATCGCTGAAGTATCGCTTTAAATGTTGCCCGCAGATTTACATTTTAAACTGGCTTATCCTTCGGGGTTTGACTTTGCTGTGTTATGGAAGACAACTTTGCAGTTGGATACGTATTAATGCGACCAAGGGTAGCAGGAGTTAGATCTCTCTCGAAATGCACCCGCACGGCCACGTGCATACAGTTACAGCCAGAGAAGTCCTACTTCCTACCTTCTCATGTCGGGAGTGCTGTTCACGACATTAAGACGACGAAAATCGGTTGTCTAGCGCTTTAACCGGGTTGGTGGATTTACCTAGGGGAGTTGGGAGGCCCTAATTACAAACCAATGGTGCAAACAGGCTCCAGCATCCTGAGGGAACAAACGGCGTATGACGAAAGTATTGGTCACCGGCTACCTTGGACTGCATCTCTTTACGCTACTCCACTGCCCTGTGGGTCAGACGTTTAGGTCGAAGGCTCCGAGTGTGATCCAATAACAATCCACCTGCTTGGATCTGGGCACCCGGGCAGTACTTCAGCCACCATACAAACCAAGTAACTTGTGTAGCACATATGTGCTCGGTGCCCGTTCGTACTAATATTTACGTGTTCAAATAAATAAGCAACCATATGATTAGTTCTGATCTGTTATTATGACAGATCACCTATTTCAATTCACACCGTTCCACAAGTATAATGAAGGCCAATGTGGGCCACCTTTGGCGCCTTCTTGATGTTAGTTTGGCTGTGAAAGATCAGATCTACAACGCGTCGGTGAGAGCAATTTCGCTCTATGCTCGTGAAACCTGGCCTAATATTTATTTCAGATTTGTGTAGTAAGTAATAAGTTCCACAATATTAGTCTGAAGTCGATATGATCAAATATCCTACATCTACTTCATTCAGTGTGGTTTTTTACACAAATAAAGTGAACCATAAACGCTCTCAATGTCCTAGACTACTGGTCCGAGTGTATTAACTATATACAATCCCCATAGGTGTGATGACGACCTACTCTAATCGTCATTTGAACGCATTAACAAGAGGATCGTTAAGTAGTACGCTTTGTCAAAAACCCAGATGACTGCTTTGTACCATTCATTTAGAACAGTTTAGACCAAAGCATTCAGAGACCAAGAATTTACTTAACATTACTCACGAGAAGTCCGCTTTACACCATGTTATTTTGAGATTGTTACTTTACACCTAGGGAGGTCTGAAAATCGAAAGCAACCGTCAAATTAGGCTTTTAGAGTAACCGAGTTATATTTGCAAGATCGGAGTCCCTGGAAATATGAAAGTTCATCTAACGCCTATATTTGCAATAGCACATCCTCATAAACCAAATATATTGAAACCAAACAGCTATTTGATGCTAGTGCATAAGTCGAAGCATTTGAAGTAATTGAGTTAATAGGTGTAGACGTTAAAGTCAATTTTATGAGTTTATTTACCAAGTACAGATCATTTCAGTTTTTAGGCACAATTGAGGTGACGGTTATTGATATTACTCAGTTGCCAAAACTGAAGATGTCTTTAACAATCACTCGACTGACTAGGCACTATCATCTTACACTTAGTAGCAAGCGCTATTCAACTGTAATTTTGTTCAAGTCGCATAGAACTTGCCAGTGATATAGTTTAACGACTAAGCTTCTTGGGTGGGAATATTCAGAATTTTCACCACTATACAAGGTGAGCCGTATGCATAACATACAGCTCCCAGCCAATAAGTCCAAACATTATATCAGTTTCAGCATTGTTAGTTACTAGCCCCCTCCATAAACACAGCTCAAACATGAGCGGTCTAATCTACATGACGTGAGTTAAATCCAGCCTTGTTAAACTAATTAACGACGTAACACTACACAATACCAGTTCATATCATTGCATGTCCTACAGCACCTGGTTTTCCTAGCTCATGTACCAAACGAAGCAGAGTGCAATAATTTCGTGCAAAGGTTATCATAAACTCCTGTCGAAACAAGTTTGATGGCACTTTTCAATGCTATAGAGGGGACTGCTTTTAGTTCATGATTTAAAGTCGCCAACGTTTTTCTCATGTACCCATAATAACTGGTCATGCTGGACTGTAATATTTTTCAAAACGCAATTTTGAAGCTTTTTGACTGATTCACTACCCACTCACATATACTCCTGACCTGAACTCGAATATTTGCGTCAGTGTTCTGTTGTTTGCTGGTTATGACAGTAACAATCAACTAGTTTTGAGACTCCTTGATTGCGTGACAGAAATTTTACGCTCAGCTTCGTCACCCAGAAGACTACCAGTGCGTTTTCACATCCTCATGTATAGTCAGTCGAATAAGCAGACGAGCTTTTTACCCGAATTTCTGCCACAAAACCAGTGAACTGTGGTTATGAAAGCTGTTGGTCAATACGATAATCTGAACAAACACATCTTTTAATTGCACTGTCGATAAATTAGGTAGAACGCGTTGCAAATATCATAAAGGTCAAATACAGGTATATTTATTTCGCTATTGATTGTATATGAATGACGATTTCCGTGCTATCTAGACTAATAATAACAGAAAAATTCACCAGTCGTAAACACTATCCAGTTTTTTTCGCACCATATATTGTACTACGATTGTATTACAGGTCAAAAAATACTACGGAACAAGAACGGTATAAACTCAACAATGTATGAGATACTGAGTCATTCTCGAGTTGTTCCCAATTTCGTGACTGATACCATAGTCCCTATTGTTATATGAGCAAACTGCTTCAAAACACAATTCATTTATCTGTCAGTATTAGGAGTAACGAAAACATCTTCGCCTGGTGCAGTATACAAAATGAAAAGCTCAAATCTGCTCAACTCGTTTCTTTACGGTACAGTTACCTGGTACTAAATACTACTAGCTATAACAATAGAAGGCAGCCGATAACCAAGACTACGAAAGCATACACAGTAGTGACATGACATTTCAAATGTTTCTATGCATATTAGCATGAGATGAACAATTGAACGATTCAGGCAAAATACCTTTCGTAATAACTATAATGAAGCCATTCAATTTTTAACAGACCTAGTGCACGAACGCTTTTCATCTATTTTACTTTGATCAAGTACAAAAGTATGTACTTGGTGAGTTACAACCACAATTGTCAGTGACCTAGACGTAAGGTTAACCCATATACTATTGTTCTCAAGGAACAAGTTTTCACAATTAATTAGTGACGACCAAAAAAATACATAAATGGAGATGAGGTTAGACCTAACGTTAAATTTCGGCAACATTAATCTAAATTAGTTTACCACTACTGAAAATGCTTTGCATTCTTCTGTGTTATGTCTGTACTTCTTGAGAAAATGCAAAAAGAGACAAGCGATCAAATAATGTAAAAGTTCCAAACCAGTGAAAAAAAATTTACTAAGAATATGATGCTGTGAGAAAGTTTTCAAAAATAGTGATTGAATTATTAACGACACAAATCACAGGTCATTATAATTTTCCGGCTATCCTGTGAGTGACTAGAAGAGATAAAACAATTAGGTTAAACAGATCCTACCATAATAGCATTGACTACATCATCGTTATTTTCACGAAGTGCTCGAATAGCTTTGCCACGCGATACACCAGCTTGCTGCATAATGAGTTCAACATCTTTCTCGTCTAATCCAGTAGCATCAGGCTAAGCAAAATCAACTTAATTATAATCATTTTACCTCTTCATCATCTTCAGACTCTTCTGCGATGGCAGTCTTCGAGATAGATGAAACTGTATCTTTTGATAGACCACTGGAAGTCCCTAACTCAGCACCTCCCATAGCTTGACTACGAAGTTTTTCAGCTGCAGCTATCTGAGCTTGGGCTGATATATCTTCTACCTTAGCCTCACCAAAAATAATGTATGTATCCGAGGCAGATGATTTATAGACCTCTGCCCTATTGATTACAAACATAATGGTCTTTGCTTTCCGTATAGTTACGCGGCAAACTCCCTGTACTAATTTTAATCCCAGCTTCGACATAGCTTTCCTAGCTTTTTTTTCACTTCTGGACTGCTTACATCGACTGAGTAATTCGTCGGCCATATGTGAAACTTTGGCATCGCTTTGTTCCTTAGAATCTTCTATTTCTGGCGCAGAGTCGTCCGAGTCACTGCCAGAATCAGAAACCACATTTTTGTCTTCCAGCTTGTTTGTAGCCCCCATTAACCCAGTTGCAACAAACCACTTTATAACCACGGATATGTAGCCTTGAACCCCACTCCTTTCGTCCTAAGTAGTTCAAACAATTACAGTTTTCAATAGACAGATTAATCAGACAGACAGTCTGCTATATTCTTTCTTTGCTAACCAGATAAAATAAATCATTGTTTCAGTGTGATTAGGTTGCATAGATTATTTTTAAAAACGGGCAACGACTTCATACTCGTGCATTAACTATGCTTTTGTGTATCAATTTAATCAGTAGCATACTTGGTACAGTAGAACTTGAGTTATTCCCTTTATGAATAGGAGTTTACTAAACACATCTTTTGGTAATATTTTTTAGTTGATTATCATCCTAGTCATTAGCTTGTGTTGCTGTCGATTTTTCCTGTCTTAGATCCATCTGTACTCGCATGAGACCCTTAATCGGTATGAATCGTCGATAGAAACTTAATAGACCGTTGAACACACACAATTACTTGGTTGTGGTTGGTTCTTGATAATCCACAATGGCTGTTACCTTGCTTTACAGAAGGCGGATGCCTTGAGTATCAATAATATGTCCAGAGAAATCTTGGGAGTAGGAACCAATTTGACATTTCTGAATGTTTACAGTAATGCCATATTTTTGAAGCCATTCGAAAACAAGGTGTTAATATTGAAGATGAGATTCTCTGTCTTGACTTGCGATCAAGCGGTCATCTGCATCTGCATGCATGAATTTGAAATTTCTAAAGAAGTCATCGATGAAACTGTGCAATGCTTGTGCAGCATTTCTCAAACCGAAAGACATGCGCGAAAATTAATGGAATTCAAAGGGAGGTGATGATAGCAGTTTTAGGAACTTCGTCAGCAGCCGTGAGAATTTGACTACAGGCCTTAACCAAATCGATTTTCGAAAAAAACAGTTGTGCCTTTTAAGATAACTTTGAAATCGTAGATGTGAGGCAACTAGTAACAATCCGAAATTATTTTCGCATTCAGTCGCTAATAGCCATCAGTTGAACACCAATCATTGCTCTCCTTTTAGGGACCATGTGCAATCTACCTTATGGTCGAATTCATTTTTGGCCAACCATAGCTTTTCAGAAGTTTGTTGTCACGCTCTTGAAAATACTGGTGGTTCTGTAGTGGTGATGACGTTTTTAACGCTGCCGGTTGCACACGGTAACTTTTTTCGTGTTTGGTACAGCTCGAGGTACTTGCCGAGTATCTGTTGATAGCATAGATCGATTATGTGCTTAACAGTGATTGGGGATGGCCTACAACTAGAAAAGGAAATCATACAAATAGATAAATTAATCTTTTCGTCTACTTAAATCCGTTTTTGCGTAACGATGGGTAGACTATGGTGTTCTAGCAGAATTGTGCGATCGATCGTTAGAAGTTGCCGGAAGAACGCTTACTTCTGCTCCAGTGTCGATGAGATAGCAAATTTTCGTCAATATGTCAGTGTTGTGTAACAGGCGGCTATACCCTCCGGCTGCAGGTGCCGTTAACGCGTGACGGTTTGGAAGTTTCCTGAAAGGTTTTTTTGTGTTGGATGGTTTGGAGCTCGGGAAACTACGGGGTTTCCTGCAGTTTCGAGAAGATTTGCCATATTCATTATGGTATCAGCACTAATAAGAATTATCTGTTTCTCGTGGACGAGAAACGGATGTACGCCGTGACATGCTTCTTCGGGGAGTTTGAGAGCGTCTACGATTACATTAAATGTCGGGCTAACAATTTAGAGTGTGACAGAGATCTGTCGTGTCGTTTTGAGTTGTTTGAACTTTTGTTTTTCAAAAGAAGCATCGATGTTGGGGATTCTAGTGATCTCCAGAATACATTCGGCAGATGCAGCCAGTTCGTCACCGGCGTTATTCTGAAATGATACAAGGGCTGCCAACACCTGTGGAGGAAACTTAGAAAAAACAGGTTCTCTAAGCGGGCCCTCGTCAAAGGTCCATTGGCCAATCAACTCTCATATACATAGTAACATTTCTTTTGCTGAGCCGCCTTCCAGCTCGATATTGTGAAAGAGTTAGCCCAGCCTCTGTCGGTTGGTTAGGTCCCCACACTAAAGAACAGTCGCAAGGTCTCGAAACACCACTAGTAAACATATTAGGTGTGATGTACCTGTTAAAATCGAGCGGTTGCGCTTTTACTGCTGTGGGGAATTGTGCACATAGGTCAGTCTTACTGTGCCAGTGAAAGTCAGCTCCCGTGTATCAGAACCAGGATTCTAAATTATTGGATGAATATTGTATTGGCTGAATAGTGAAGGAACTCGAAGCAACCGTCAACCAACACCAAGATCAGGATTTTCAGTACAAATGTCAAGACAGTTCTACTATATGGGGCAGAAACCTGGCGAACTACGAAAGCCATCATCCAGAAGATACAAGTGTTGTATGTCAACAGTTGTCTACGCAAAATACTTCGGATCCGTTGGCCAGACACTATTAGCAACAACCAACTGTGGGAGAGAACAAACCAGATCCCAGTGGAGGAAGGAATTATGAAGAAGCGCTGGAAGTGGATAGGACACACATTGAGGAAAGCACCCAACTGGGTCACAAGATAAGCCCTTACATGGAATCCTCAAGGCCAAAGGAAAAGAGGAAGACCAAAGAACACATTACACCGAGAAGTGGAGACAGATATTAGAAAAATGAATAAAAATAGGATAGAACTGCAAAAGAAGGCCCAAGACAGAGTGGGTTGGAGAATGCTGGTCGGCGGCCTATGCTCCATTGGGAGTAACAGGCGTAAGTAAGTAAGTAACTGAATAGTGGGAGGCAGAGGAGGTTCAATTTTAGGTAACTTAATTTTCTGTTCCATTGTAACGAAGATATAATACAGCAACGAGCAGGAAAAAAGTTCAAAAATATGAAAATTTTATCACAATATGTAAAAATAAAATTGAAAAATGATATATCAGGTTCCAACAAGGAACAGACTCGCAGTTCACTAGTTAGTGTACCAGATCACGTCGTTCTCATCACTAAAGATGTCACAAGTATTCGGAGTTTTACAACAGTTTTATCAATAACACTTTTACATTCTAAGTATGCTAACCCAGTTAAATCAGAATTCATAAGTGAAGGGGTTCAAAGATATAATTTAAAGGCTATCGATATGTCGAGAATCGATCGGTCTAAGCCGTCTAACAGCTGTAAGGGATGTGTAACACGGTGTACCAACTCGTGGACTATTGCCGATGTGTGACCGAGCGCCTTCAGCGAGGTGAGTCCAGTAAAACCAGTGCGGTCAGCACCAAATGACGAAGGCTTATAGGACTGTTTATTTTGGGGATTTATTTATCGCTACCATCTGAACCCGAAGTCTACTTACATTCAAACATATCATTCCACTAGTCTCTATTATTATTATTATTACCATTCACAAACAGCTTACGGGTGCAAAAGTGATGTGAAGAAACCGTTTCGGGTTCCTAAAGAAATGGAATAATGCATAAGTTTCAATAATGTTGGCATAATATTTACCATATTTGAAAAAAAACAGGTTATGTGCAATTGAAATGAATATTGAGGTGACCTTAAAGAAGGAAAGGGAGAAAATAAGGTAATGGCAATGAGGGGAACTCGAAATACACAGTTTAAGAAGCGTGTTTGTGAACCCAAAACAAGAATAAACGACTATGTATGTATCGTCAAATGGATAACAAGAAGAAAAAGGGTTGAAATTAAATGAAGAAATGAGAAAATAACTTATTATTGCTGCAAGATATGAAAGTAGAATAAGTGTTTGTGCAGTAATGGTTTGGAGTGATGCTATGAAGTCCCAATTACTTGCAAAGGATAATCAAGTATCATTATGTTTGGGTCACATATACATAGTGAAAATAAAATGAATCTGAGAAGTTAGTTCAAGTGTAACACAAGATATTGTCTTAATTACAAACTCCGGATAGTTAAGAACAACATTTATTTAGAAAGAAGGGAGAGAGAGAGAAAGAAATGAATACCTACTGAAAGTGTTCAACCATAATAATAAGAGTGCAATGAATTTCGACCTCTGAAGTAAACCATTAATTTTTTTAAATATTTTTCAGTTCACTCGGGTAAATACACGGAAATTTATGTTTTAGGGTACAGAGTAAAACTTGATATTAGTATAAATTCTTGTGCAATAATCATTCAGAATGATGCTATAAAAGTTACAAATAAGAATGCAAAGGATGACCAAATATAAATTTCTATGTGTTATATATATATGGTGATGATAAAATTAATTTGAGAAGTTAATTTATTTAAGCGTAACATAAGATAATTTGTTTTTAGTTATAGACTCTGGGTGTTTATGAATATAATAAGTTTAGGAGGAAAACAAGGGACGAAAAGATTATCTAATGTATCAAGGGACCAATAATAATAATTATTATTATGAAAATAAGTGAACTTCAGATATTAAGAACTGCATCACTTTATACTATGACAGTATGTGACACCATAGCATCCTAATTACAGATCAAAATATTTTGGTATTTCGAATTATTTGAATTATAGTATGAACTAGGAATCACAGAAATAACGCAATTGAATCAAGAAGTACTAGATGAGCACAAACGAATGTATTGTATTTAGAATTCGAAATCGGGCAATCAACAAGTACAGAGGTATCTTTGGTTCATTCAAACACCACATCCACCACAGCTTAAATAGAAGTATAAGTGTCTGTAATCGGTTGTACGTCTTCTTCTTAAGTTCATCTTGAGTCTCTCCGACATTGTATTGGATAAAAACTTTGTAGTCTCCAGAATGTGCTCATTAGTATTGGAATTAACAACCGAAATCGGAACAGACTCATCTGGGTCCTGAAATTATATACAATCAGCATGTCGGTTTTGTACTGAAATCATTGATATCTAGAATTTGAACCATAGATTTTTCAACACTATCCTCCCCTCACGAAACAATGTTGGATCTTTATATCCTCAAGTTATGAATGATGTGGCTTCACTTAAAACATATTTCTCACATTGTTTAGAGTAA